CAGTTGCTGTGTCTAGCCAGGTAGTAGTGTCCGGTCCGGTCGCTGTGTCCAGTCCAGTCGCTGCGTCTTGCTCCTGTCGCTCTCTCACCCACCGCACCATCCTGTAGCACTACCGCCTTGGCCACCCGTCGATCCCTCGCCTACGTGGCATGCTCAGTCAGGGACTTGTCTCAGGTCTCCCACGCACCTTCCCGTCGCTCCCTCTCTCGCTTGCCCCTCCTTGCTCTCCGTGCGTCGCCGGTCGCTTACGCGCCACTCCCCACTCCTCCTCCCTTCGTCCGGCCACCGCTCCCTTCGAGACTCTCCACTTGGACGTCTGGGGCCCTGCCCCGACGCAGGGGTCTGGGAGGGAGCGTTATTTTCTGGTGGTCGTCGACGACTTCTCTAGGTACACCACAGTGTTCCCTCTTGCGAAGAAGTCCGAGGTGACTGCTACGCTGATCAGGTGGCTTCTAGCCACTGAGGGCACTCGTGGTCGTCGAGTCAGTTGTCTCCACTCCGACCGTGGGGGCGAGTTTCGCTCCGGCATTCTCGGCGGATTCTGCGGCGAACAGGGCATCACCCAGTCCTGGACGCTGCCAGAGTCCCCACAGCAGAATGGGGTTGCTGAGCGCCGCATAGGCTTGGTCATGGACATCGCCCGCACGTCCATGATCCATGCCCGTGCGCCCCATTTTCTGTGGCCCCACGCGGTTCGCTACGCCGCACACCAGCTGAACCTCCAGCCGCGTGTCTCGCGGCCCAAGGCTTCACCGACCAGTCTTTGGACTGGTTCCCCTGGTGTCGGGTCGGCCTTTCGAGTCTGGGGCTGCCTTGCGCTTGTTCGCGACACTTCCGCGGACAAGCTCTCGGCACGCGCCGTCCCCTGTGTCTTCCTTGGTTTCCCAGTGGACTCTGCCGACTGGTCCTTTTACCACCCTCCTCTCCACCAGTTCCTAGACTCCCGTGACGTCCGATTTGACGAGTCCGTGTCCTACTACACCCGGTACCCCTGTCGAGGTCTCCCGGTACCCCCTCCCCCTCTTTTCATCGCACCCTCTCCTCCTCCTACTCCCGCTCCTCCGGTACCCTCGCCCCCCCCTGGTCCTTCCCCGTCTGGTGTGTCCCACGTTACCCCTCTACCCTCGGTCGCGCGTCAGGTAGCGTCTCCCTCCCCGCAGTCCTCCTCACAGTCCCCTCAGCAGCCTTCGGCACTTCCGCGACAGGTTACTGTGGACTCGGTTGGTGTTGGAGCTGGAGGTGCAGCCGCTGGCGGTGCTCGGTCTGGGGGTGCTCGGTCGCGGGGTGCTGGAGCTGGAGGTGCTGGCGCAGGTGGCGCTAGCTCTGGGGGTGCTGGAGCTGGAGGTGCTGGCGCAGGTGGCGCTAGCTCTGGGGGTGCTGGAGCTGGAGGTGCTGGCATTGGAGGTGCTAGTTCTAGGGGTGCAGGAGCTAGAGGTGCTGGCACTGGCTGTGCTAGTTCTGGGGGTGCTGGATTTGGAGGTGCTGGCACTGGCGGTGCTGGGGGTGCTGGAGTTGGAGGTCCTGGCACTGGAGGTGCAGGTTCTGGGGGTGCTGAGTCTGAGGAGACTGACGCTGGAGACCCTGGTTCTGCGGAGTCCACTCCGCCTCCCCACCGCCACGCCACACGTCTCCAGGCTGCCCGTCGGCGTGAGCGTGAGGAGCAGGAGCGGTTGGAGAGGGAGCGGCAGGAGCTGCGGGTGCTGGACCTTCTGGAGCAGCAGCGGCAGCAGCAGCAGCAGCAGCAGCAGCAGCAGCAGCAGCAGCAGCAGCAGCCGCAGCCGCACCCGCAGCCGCCGCAGCAGCAGCCGCAGCCGCCGCCGCAGCAGCAGCAGCCGCAGCAGCCACCGCAGCTTCCTCTGGAGCGGCGGTTGTTCCCACCTGTGAGTGGCCTGCGGGCCCTTGGCCTTTCCTCCTCTCCTCCTGTTCGCTCCCAGTCTCCTCCTGTGTTTGTCCCTCCGTTGCCTCCTCCTGACGACCGTCCGGCGGTCTGTTCTTCTCCTCCTCTCCAGTCTCCTCCTCCTTCTGTCCGTCACGACTTGATCACTCGTTGTCCTCCGCGTGCTCGTCACTCGTCCCCTGTTACTGACCTTCACACAGCCCTCCTTTGTTCGTCTCGTCGTCGTTCTCCTGTGTCCGTTCTCCCGTCTCCTCCTCCGTCCACTCTCCCAGACCTCCCCACTCCTATCTCTGACTACTACCGCGCTGTTCGTCCTGTTGCCGCACGTGTCCTCGCCATTCTTGTCACCGACTCTCGTTTCCCTCCGTCGTCTGTCTCGGCTCTTACTGCTGCTGTCGCTGAGTTTGCTGCCGCCAGCCGCCTTGACTACGCCACCCGTGTGGTGCCAGCTCCTCCCTACCGTCCTCTGTCCGTCGGGGGTGGGTTTGCCCTTGGCTGTGACGTCCTAGAGGACAGAGAGTCTGAGCTGGAGTACTGGGCAGCCGCTTCTCCCTCTGTGTGTGCCATGCTGCTCTCCCCTGAGGGAGACCCCGACGCCCTTGACATACCGACTCCTCGCACTTACCGCGAGGCAGTGTCAGGGGCGTGGGCCTCTCAGTGGAAAGCGGCTATGGACTCAGAGTTGGCGTCTTGGAGATCCACAGGCACCTACGTCGACGCAGTTCCCCCTCCCAGGGCGAACGTAGTCGATGGCATGTGGCTCTTCAAGGTGAAGCGGCCGCCTGGAGCACCGCCGGTGTTCAAGGCGCGCTACGTGGCTAGGGGCTTCAGTCAGCGTGAGGGAGTTGACTTCTTCCAGACCTTCGCCCCGACCCCGAAGATGACTACTCTTCGGGTGCTACTCCACATAGCAGCGCAGCGAGACTACGAGCTGCACTCCCTCGACTTCTCTAGTGCGTTTCTCCAGGGCCGACTGCACGAGGAGATTTGGCTGCGCCGTCCTCCTGGCTTCACTGACACCTTCCCACCTGGGACCCAGTGGAGCCTGAGGCGACCAGTCTACGGTCTCCGCCAGTCGCTCCGTGAGTGGCACGACACTCTTCGCTCCACGCTTCGTGACCTTGGGTTCAGCCCGTCCTCCGCCGACCCGTCGCTGTTTGTTCGAGCGGGTTCTACTCCTTTCTTTATCCTTGTCTACGTCGACGACTTGGTGTTTGCTACCGCAGACAGGGCAGCCCTGGCTCAGGTGAAGTCCGAACTGCAGAAGAGACACAAATGCACTGACCTGGGTGAGCTGCAGCGCTACCTTGGCCTGCAGATCACTAGGGACAGAGCCGCTCGCACCATCACACTGACGCAGTCACACATGGTGCAGCAGGTCCTTCGGCGGTTCGACTTCCAGTTCTCCACCACACAGCCCACTCCTGTTGCTGTTGACCACCGACTCACTGGCCCCTTTCCTGACGAGCCCTTTGAGCCCAGTGGTCCCTACGCAGAGCTTGTGGGCTGCCTCATGTACCTGATGACTTGTACTCCGCCGGACCTCGCCTTTCCCCTCAGCATCCTCTCTCGCTTTGTTGCGACTGGGAGACACCGTCCTGTCCACTGGACAGCTGCTGTGAGGGTGGCGAAGTACCTGGCGACTACATCAGGCATGGGGCTTGTGCTTGGAGGGACTCAGCCAGTGGCGTTGACTGGTCACTGCGACTCTTCCTACGCTGACGACGTGGAGACTCAGCGCTCGACTCAGGGTTACTGCTTCAGTCTGGGAGCTGGTGCTGTGTCGTGGAGGTCTACACGGTCGTCGTCTGTGGCTACTTCCAGTGCAGGCGCAGAGATCTACGCTGGTGCCATGGCGGCACAGGAGCTTCGCTGGTTGACCTTCTTGCTCGCCGACCTTGGTGAGCGGCCTCGCTCTGCACCGACCTTGTACGCTGACAACAAGGCCATGATCCTCCTGTGTCGAGAGCCTCGATTGGAGAGCAGAGTGAAGCATATTGACGTGAGGTACTTCCTCCTGCGAGAGCTGCAGCGACGCGGCCAGGCACGCCTGGACTTTGTGGCCTCAGAGGCCAACACTGCAGACGTCTTCACCAAGGCCTTGGCGCTTGGTGATCACCACAGGTTCTGTGTGCAGTTGGGGCTTGTTGAGGTAGGCCCTCGGTTGCTGTAGTCTTGTTGTTTGCTCTGCTTGTTGTGCTTCCTATTTATATCCTAGTGAACTCTTGAACTGGCCTTGTGGCCGCTTGCTTGCGCTCGGAATTTGTGTGGTGTCCTTGAGATCCACCCTGAGCTTGCCTTGTTTCTTGCTTTGACTGGTCTTGTGACCGTTTGTTCACCTTGCTTGCTTTGATGCCCCTCACTTAGCCTATGGGGGTGTGTCAAATGTAATTCTATGCTTGTAGGCTACAGTGAGTAGCACAATAAGGAGTAAAGTTGTTAGGGTTGCATATTTGTACTCTCACACTTTCTAGTTTCGCCCATTCCGTTGCATTCCTATTCTGAAACCCATGCTGAGTTGTTTGCCCAATTGTAACCCATGCTGAGTTGTTTGCCCAATTGTAACCCATGCTGAGTTGTTTGCCCAATTGTAACCCATGCTGAGTTGTTTGCCCAATTGTAACCCATGCTGAGTTGTTTGCCCAATTGTAACCCATGCTGAGTTGTTTGCCCAATTGTAACCCATGCTGAGTTGTTTGCCCAATTGTAACCCATGCTGAGTTGTTTGCCCAATTGTAACCCATGCTGAATTGTTTGCCCAATTGTAACCCATGCTGAGTTGTTTGCCCAATTGTAACCCATGCTGAGTTGTTTGCCCAATTGTAACCCATGCTGAGTTGTTTGCCCAATTGTAACCCATGCTGAGTTGTTTGCCCAATTGTAACCCATGCTGAATTGTCTCTTCTCATCCAAACAGCCTCGCAAGGCAGGTGGCTGGCCCTGTCAATACATAACACCATACAATCACCTCTGGGGCATGAAGCGTTCACGCCTGCATGTGCAGTCACGTTCAGAAATGAGCTCACAGTGAATGGTTCGACAGTAACTGGGGGAGGCGCTATCTGGGGGGAGTGAAAGAATGAGGCTACCCGAGAGGGGGGCCCTAGCTGGGGATGATCTTGAGCAGCTCAATGTCAAAGAGAAGCGTCTTGTCGATCAGCCCCTGGTTCTTGAGCACAAAGTCCAACGCGCGCTGGCCCTGGCGCATGCATCAAGCAGCAGCACGGAGTGACGGAGGGGAAAACGAGGGGGCAGTGAGTTCAGGTACCGTAGGCGAGATCAAGGGAGAAACAGCAGAAGATGGAGTGGGTTAGTGAGTGAAAGCGTGAGTGGGGGCCATTGCAGGACAGGTGCAGCGGCGTGGGTGCAGTGCATGTGGGTGCAGTGCGTGTGGGTGCAGTGTGTGTGTGCAGCAGAGGGCACTGACGGAGAAAGTAGTGGGTTTGGGTCCTTGCTTGTTGAAGCTGTAGTCTGGGTAGCCTATCTCCGGGGGCACAACAATCCTGGCGCATGCACGGTGCGGAGTCATTGGTGCATGCACGGTGCGGAGTCATTGGCGCATGCACGGTGCGGAGTCATTGGTGCACAGCAGATGAGGCACGGCGAGGGGAGGCATGTTATTGAGCCGACTTTTGAGTCGAATCATAAGGCACAACGATCCTGGCGCATGCAGGGTGCGGAGTGATTGGTGCACCGTGCACAGAGAATGAGGCACGGCAAGGCAAGGCATGTTAAGTGGGGAAAGAGCAGTACTGTTGAGAGTAAATGCGGTCCATGGCACCATGCATGTTGCATGCACTCCATACCGCGTGGATGGCACTGAAACAATGCAGCCCCCTTACCGAGCTCCCCAGCTTAAACCCCCCCAGTCCCCCCCGCCCTCACCTCCTGACACCCCCCAGCTTCATGGATGCCACGGCCTCCTCAAACGCCGGGATGACCTGCCACCACCCCACACACACATGCATGCCATGCGTGCCGGGATGCCCCACATGCACGCCACCCAAGAGGCACACGGGTGGGCTCATGCGAGTGGGTTGGAGCATGCAGTGAGAAGCATGCGTGGGCATGAGCTTGATTGCGAATCATGGCAGCAAGGCGGAGACACGGAAAGAGGCAGTGGCGAGCACAGCAGACACAGTGCCAGCAGCACGCGGGGTCATGGGTTGGCAGCAAGGGGGCGATGGAGTAGCGGAGGCATGGAATGGACGCACCTCCCCTTGGGCGACGTGGTAGCGGAAGAAGTCCTTCTCGTTGCCCTGCGCAGACCACACACACACGGGGCGGGCGCAGCAGGGAGCAGGGAAAGGATCAGCCGGAGGATAGTGTGGCTCTTTCCCTGAGAAGCGCGCCTGTGACAAGCCGTGGCAGCCCCTCGCCCTCACCCGCACCCCAACCGCCCTCTCCCGGCCTCTCTACCCTCCTCCCCCAACCCCCTAGCTTGTCTTACGCACCTCGAAGGAGCCGCCCTTGGCCTTGTTGCGCGCCTCAAAGATGCGCCCATAGTACCCTATGGTGAACCCCGCCCAGTCCACCTGCATGGGGGGAGGGGCGGAGTGCAGAGTGGGGTGCGGGGCAGAGGGTGGGGAGGGGCAATGGCTTGGCAAGGTCTGGCAGGGCATATGGCACAGCAAGTATGGCAGGACAAGTGGCATTGAAAGCACACAAGACAACAGAAGCAGAGGAAATGAGAGGCGCACTCACGACAACGAGGTCGCCTGGTTGAGGTGTTGGTCCCGTGCCCTCCCTCAAGTCCTGGTGGGTGGCGGGCACGGAAGCATCATCATGCGGCATTAACCATTGACCACTGACTAGCACGTCTCAACGCACAGCTCAACACGCTTCGATGGAATGATTGTGATCGTGATGCGACGACAGCGTCGCCTTCAGTGCCACCATGACTTGCAGTGTTCTGCTACAGCATCCTATTCCCATGGGTCGACCATTGGACTTGCTACACCGAAGGTGCCTTTTTTGCAGCAACAGCCGTGCTCATTTCTTAGTATTGAGCCCACATGCTTTATAGCACGCACCACCTTGCATAGCCCACCAGGCCCCATCTTGCAGCACCGCGCCCCACCTTGAACTGCAGGCCGGAGTCGGTCTCAGTGTAGTCGGCATACTTCATGCGGCTCTTGCCGTAGTCCTTGCCCCTCAGCGCCGGCACTGCCGCCCGGCCCCCCAAACACACACAGTGGACGGGCGTTTGGGGAAGGGGTTGAGCGGGAGGGAAGGGGGGTCTTTGAGGGAAGGAAGTGGGAGGGGGTACAATGCACGCCGTTTGCATTCAGGGAGGGTTTGTGCATTCAAGTGCGTGAGTGGCTGTGTGGCACACACATGGTTGTTGCACGTACTGTCCGCGAAATTCGACTCAGTGGCCTCGGCCACGTCAGCAGGGAGCAGGGAGACGGCGACGGATGCGACGAGCGCGGAGGCAGCGGCGGCAGCCCCGCCGAGGGCCACGCCTCTGCGCCCCACGCGAGGTGATTCCGCCTGACCCGCTTGCTGCTGCTGCTGGTCGTCCTGCGAATTTCGCGAAGGCTGTGGCGAATTGGTGGAGCGGAAAGAAGCGGATGCGGCCACGTGGCGCCGCTTCGTGCGAGTCGCCAGGGACGAGACATTTCTGGACGACGCGTCGAGCTGCCACAGCAATGGCGAAAGAAAGAGAACCAGCGCAAAGGGGACATGCATTTCTCAGCATTTTGGTAAAGTTTCCAGAATTTTTTATGGACGAGGTGGATTATTGAGTTGCAATATTGAGGACGTCACCTCTCCAGTGGTCCGCGTCAATTGGAGCGACGGCGCTGCGTTAACGCTCGTCATTAGGAACGCCATCACGACCTAAAATGCGAAGACGAGCTAGAACAACCGGACTAATGTTCAAGCTAATGCCACTTCCGCAGCCTCAACGCCACACAACGAGACGGGCAGCGACACGGGACAATGGCGGAGCCTGTGAACTCGCTCGCGGCGGACCAGTGGGAAGAATGTTGTTGCTGCTTGCTTGAGTTGATGGGAGAATATATTGCACGAATTGGTGGGCGGAAACTTGGAATTGCCGCCGAAACATTCTAGGTCGTGTTTCGATGAAAGAGGAGGGGCGAGCTAAAAGTGCAACAATCACTTGCAAGTGAATACAGAATGAAATCACTCGCGAGCGTTTGGTGATACATATGTTGAAATCTTTGTTACAGAAGTAGGCCCCATTTTCGTAGTTGTGTGCCTAATGACAGTTTGAATCGCTATAACGAGTATCTCTGATATAGACACACAGAAGGTTTCGTTTGCATTCCTTCCTAGACCAACTTCAACTTATTCCACCCGTTTTGGATAAGCCGCTCCCTCTCCAACTCACCATTATTCAGCTGAACTCGATACTCCCAAGATACCTTGTGCCGAGTCCCGCTCTAGTTTCCGCGTAGGTAGTGTTTAAGTCCTAGCTTCCGGACTCGCTCGGGTAGCGACACTAGGCCGCTTCCTGTCGCGAGTCGTGATCAGCGGCCGGCGGATCAATAATTAACGATGGAGGAGGAAGCGGACTCTCCGCTCCTACGCTTTCTGATCGACCTTCTCAAGCCCATGTAAGCTCAACGCTAAACCTTACTCCTTACCGTCTCCTAAATTGTTACTTCCAATTCCTTTCCGCATCGAGGACGTCGCATTTAGATCTCATTTCTCATGTCCTTAGCAGTATCGAAACCCTAATTGTCTTCTTTTCTGCCGTGGCTCGTGGCTGTGTACTGGCATTGCTGGCGAACGCGCGCGCAGATCGGAGGCGGATCCGGCGCTGCTGGCGAACTACGTGGTGGCGCTGCTGAAGAACAGCAAGCCCCACGACGAGCTGCGCCGCCTCTGCCTCGACCAGCTGCAGGACTTCCTTACCGACGGTACGTCGCACGCACCGCATGATCAATTGCACGTCGCGGAAGGTGCGTCGTACGCAATTCATGATGAACCGCTCGACTTCCCCTTGTGTAAGGTGGGATTGCGTGGATGAATTGCACGTCTTTCTCATGCATTTCTTCCTCACGGAGGTGCGTTCTAGAGAGCTATTCGCGCGCGCGGTTTTTCTCATTTGCGGGCACGCCCTAGCTCATCGTCACATTCAAGATCGCCTTGTTCGCTCGCGTCGCTTGCCTCATTGCGGCAATTTGGAGGTTACTTGTTTTGCCCTAACTTGTTCCAGAAGGAAAGAGGGGGACTAGTGTGCCTGACTTTGCCAATAAATTTTTGGGCACCGGAGGATCATGCAATTGGGGTCCGAAAGATAATGTCGTAAGTTAAGTCGCCAGAATATGTTTTTTTGCTTGATTTCCTCATTGCCGGGTTTCAGAAACCGAGGGTTTTGTAGCGAAGCTGTTCGACGCCCTCGAGCGCGGGGAGATCTCGCTAGAAGACGCGGAGGAGGAGAACGCGGGGGAAGACGTCGACGCGGACAAGAAGCGGAGTCGGGGGGACGACGCGGAACCCGCGGAAGCGAATGAGTCCGGGAGAGACGGGGGAAGAGGCGGAGGGAAGAGCGGAGGCAAGCGGGGTGATGGGGGCCAGCGGGGCGCGGATGAGGAGGGGGGTAGGGGGAGAGGGGGCAAGAGAAGTGGCACGTCGCGAGAGAGGGGAGTGAGAGAGAGGGCATCGGGGGATGAGGAGAAGGAGCGGGACGAAGATGGTGGTAAAGGCGGGGAGAGGGGCGAGAGGGAGCCGTATCCCGCGGCTGAGGCGGAGGCGGAAGAGAGGGCGGAAGCAGCGGGGGAGGAGCGGGAGGAGGAGGAGGAAGGGCGGCGGAAGCGGCACGAGGAGGACGAATCGAGCGACGATGACGACGATAGAAACCACAAGCACAGGCGGAGAGGTGGCGAGCGCACGTTCCGCGACGAGGGCGCGGGGGGGGAAGGAGCACGCAGCAGAGACCCCGCGGAAGGGCGCGGTAGCGTGCACTCGCGCCTAGAGGGCGCGCGGGATAGAAGAGGAGGTGACTTCAGCGGGGGTGGCGCAGGCAGGTCATTCCGCAGCCGCGACGGCCCCCGTTCCTTCAGGCCGGGGGATGGGGGCGGCATGGGCGGAAGGGGCGGGCCTATGGGGCGGGATTTTCCCCGCGTGGGGGGCCCTGGTCCTGGGCAGCCGATTCTAGGTCCGCAGATGGGCATGCCGCGGTTCCCCATGGGGGGAATGCCAGGGGGAATGGGGGGGCGCGCGGGCCTCCTCAGGGGCATGCCTGGGCGCTTTGACGGGGGCCCGGGGAGGGGCATGGGGGAGCAGTGGGGCATGGGGGGCGCAGCGGGCGCAATGCCTGGTATGTTGCCCGGCCGGGTCGGGCCTGGGATCCCTCCCCCGGGTCTCCCTGGTGCGCCAATGCCTGGCGCAGGGATCGCAGGGGCAGGCCCGGGCATGGGGAACGGCATGGGCGGGGGCATGGGGAGGGGTTTCTTCCCCGGAAGGGGCGGGGGAGGGGGTCCGGGGCTTATCAGACCAGGGTTTGGCGCAGGGGGACCGGGGTTTGGAATGTTCCCAGGGGGCGGGGGCGGGGGAGGGATGCCGGGAATGGGCGGGGGAAGGATGGGCGCAGGCGGAGGGGGAAGGGGCGGGAGGGGAGCAGGCGAGGAAGGGGGTGCGGGAATGGCGGGCGGAGGGGGAGCAGGTTCGGGGGGGCCCACGGGGAAGCGCGCGCGGTGCCCTGACTTTGAGGAGAAGGGGTTCTGCCTGAAGGGCGACCTGTGCCCGCTGGACCATGGCAACTACCGCATTGTTGTGGAGGACATGCAGGTGAGACGGAGGGGTGTGTAGGTGAGACGGAGGGGTGTGTAGGTGAGACGGAGGGGTGTGTAGGTGAGACGGAGGGGTGTGTAGGTGAGACGGAGGGGTGTGTAGGTGAGACGGAGGGGTGTGTAGGTGAGACGGAGGGGTGTGTAGGTGAGACGGAGGGGTGTGTAGGTGAGACGGAGGGGTGTGTAGGTGAGACGGAGGGGTGTGTAGGTGAGACGGAGGGGTGTGTAGGTGAGACGGAGGGGTGTGTAGGTGTGCACATGGCACAGGGATACGTAAGGGTGAGATGAGGGAGCATGCAGACCTTACTTGGACGCACGCATTTCCAGTTCCCTCCTATATCTCCTTGGTTCGTTTCCCTCTTCAACCACGCACCCCCTTCCCCATCTCCTTCGCGCTCACCCCACCCCACTCCAGTCCCTGCAGCAGCTCAACCTTCCCCTCCCTCCACACTCCCTCGGAATGCCGCCAAACTCGGCTGCCCAACCGCTGCCCGGCCAGCTGGCCGGCACTCGCCGGCCGAGAGCAGAAGGCGGCAGGGGCGGCAGAGGAAGAGGAGGGGAAGGAGGGGGGCGAGGAGGAGGGGAGAGCGGGGCAGGAGACGGGGGGGAGGAGCAGGAGGGGGTGGGGGTATCGGCAGCAGTGGACGGCGGGGGAGGGGTGATGGCAGACGAGGGGGAGCATTACGACCCAGACGAGGCACTGTGGGTGCATGATTCCAAGAGGGCCAAGGGCATGAGGGAAGTGCGGGTGTACGGGGGCGATGGGGCGGACGGGAATGGGCGCATGCCGGGCGGACGGCGGGTTGCTCCTGGGGAGGTGAGCGTGTGGGACCGGATTGGGCCTGTAAGTGCTGGTGGGAGGGGCGGAGGAGGGGTGGGTGGTGGTGATGGGGGCATGGGGGCAGCAGGTGGGGACGTGGGGATGGAGTATACTCCTGACGGGGGCTTTAACATGGGGTACAATCCACAGTTCCCGGGGAACTTTGGGGGCGGAATGGGACCGGAGTTTGGAGGAAACGGGGCAGGGGAGGATGGGCAGGGCATGGGACCGGGCATGGGACCGGGCATGGGGCAAGGAGGGTATGAGAGGAGAGGAGGACCAGGGGAGGGGGGCTGGCAGGGGCCGCAAGGGCAGCCCGGGCGGGGGGGCAGAGGGGACTGGGGGGGGAGAGGCAGGGGGGAAGGGGGCATGGGCGGGGGGAGAGGCCGCGGGGGAGGCAGCGAGCGGAACCCGGACCTGAAAGCCCACATGACCGTCTTTGTGAACGGTATTCCGTCAGAACTCACAGCAGGCAAGGGCCTGCAAGCATCGCTGATCAAACACTTTTCTAAGTTTGGTCCTGTGGTGGATATCAAGGTGCATGGGGACAAGGGCCGTGCGTTTGTGCAGCTGGGTGCGAGGGAGCATGCAGCAGCAGCGATTGCAGCACCAGATGCAGTGCTGGGGAACAGGTTTATTAAGGTGTTCTGGGCTAACTTTGATCTTCAGCCTGATCCTGCTTCTGCTGCTGCAGCGGCGGCGGCGACTGCTGCTGCGGCGGCTGCTGCAGCTGGTTCGGCAGGTGAAGGAGGCCCGGGAGCAGGTTCGGTGGAGGGTGGGAAAGGAAGCGGCAAGGTTGATGCTGGAGCTGGCAAGGGTGGGGCGAGTGCAGGGGGGGCAGCGGCAGCAGCAGCAGCAGTTGACCCAGCAGAGGCGGCAGCAAAGGCGAAGGCGAAGTTGGAGGAGTTGAGAGCGATACAGAAGAAGAAAGAGGCGCTGCTGAGGGAGCAGATTGAGAAGCGCCGGCTGTACCTGGAGCGACTCAAAGAGGCCAGCCAACAGAAACAGCCCGCTGCCGCTGCTGCACCAGGTGCATCACTAGCTGCTGCTTCAGGTGTTTCCCCAGCAGCAGGAGCAAGTGCAGCACAGGCAGCTGCAGGCAGCACTGCCACCCCTGCTGCAGGTGCCACTTCAGGTGACGCTGGGGCAGCACGTGTGGGGGCAGGAGCAGCAGGGGCGGAGGGAGCAGCAGGAGCAGGAGCGGCAGCGGCAGCGGCGGCCGCAGGGGGCAAAGCAGTGGGCACGTCTCCCAGTGCCCCCTTTTCCCCTCACTCTCCTGCTGGCCCAGCACCTTACATGGGCGGCAGAGGGAGAGGGCGGGGCGGGTACGGTGGATATGGAGGGGGGTACCACTACGGGTGGAGCGGAGGGGGAGGGGGGGCGGGAACGGGTGCAGGGGGCGCGTGGGGGAATAAGTTCAAGCTGGACAATCGCACCACTGTGGTGCGCGTCACACCGCCCATCCCCGAGGCCATCACTGAGGTGAGCGAGCCAGCCTGAGCGCAAGTGAGAGCTTTGCTTCTGGAAAGGGGGGCCGGAAGCGGGAGCAGGGGGCGCGTGGGGGAATAAGTTCACACTGGACAATTGCACCACTGTGGTGCGCGTCACACCGCCCATTCCTGATGCCATCACTGAGGTGAGTGAGCCTGGGGCGCCCTGGTTAAAGTCTCTGAAGTAAGAGAACGCAATCACTTTCACCTCCTGCTTTTGTGTCCTCCCGTCTCTTTCCTTTCCTTTGGATCTCACTTCTCCCTGTTTGCAGCAAACCCCCCTTTCCAAAACTCATCGCCACCAGCACAGGCGAGCATGCCATGGGGAGCACTTGAGTGTGTGTAGGCAGGTGGGGAGCGTGGATCTCTTGGTCTCTTACTTCCTTCCTTCATCTGTCCCCATCACTTTTCATCCAATCTTGCAGGCCAGCATGCTGTGGGAGCACTTCAGTGCGTGTGGCGAGGTGGTGAGCGTCGAGGTGGAGGGCGGCGGCACAGCTGTCACGCCGACCAGCGCCGTCCGCGTGCGCTTTGCATCTCGTCCCGTAGCGGAGTATGCGTATATGAACGGCCGTGTGCTGGCATCAGGTGATGCACTCACCCTTGCCTGGGGGCCTCCCGCCACCACTCCCCATACTCCCGCTGCTGCCACTGCTGCGGCTGCTGCCTCGGCTTCCCCTGCTGCGGCTGGTGCGAAGGCAGCAGGTGTTTCGCCTCTCAAGGCTGCAGCAGGCGGGGTACAGAAGGCAGCTGCAGGAGCGGCCACAGCGCCAGCAGCAGCAGCAGCGCCAGAGGCAGTATCCTCTGGGGGGGCTGCGCTTACTGCTCCTCAGTCTGCTGCTAACGGCACCAATGCTGCTGCTGCCCCTGCTGCTGCTGTTGCTGCTGCCAGTGCTGCTGCTGCCTCAGGTGCTGGGACAGCTGGTGGGGGATCAGCAGAGGGGCAGTAGCAGGAGCAGGAGCAGGAGGGGCAGAGGTGTAGGATGGGCACCAAGACATGCTATTTAGAAAAAGGTGAGTGAGAGGGGCTGCCCTGGTGGGTGGCAGGTCTCCCTCGCCTCGCCATGACATCATTGCCGTGCGCGTGGGTGGGTGATTGGCTGGGCTGCTCTCACATTGACATCATTGTCATGCGGCAATTCCTCTTGCCGCTCTCAACATGCGTGGGCCTCCTTCCCATATCGACTCGACTCAGTTGGAGTGCAGGAATTGCCTGCATTTCTTTCTTCGTTTCTGTCAAGTGACGTGTTGTAGAACAGTGAATTTAATGCTAGGTATACCGTACCTGTGGACGTGATAGGGTGGATCTCTGACTAGCTGATGTGGCTTGTATGTTTCTGATTCACACCTTAATGTCACTAATTTGATTGTTTATCTAAAGCAATAGCGGAAGCCCGGGGCTGTTAATACCGGATATACGTTTCCTTCCATTCATGGTCTCTGTCTGTGATTGCCGTGGGGCAATCACTTACCGAATCTGCATCGATGGCGAGGCACGTCGCACTCATCCGCGCGGTTAGGTCCGGAGCTAGGCTCGGCGAGTCCGGCAATGCTTTCCTGCCGTCGCGGTTGCTCACGGGTGGCCGTCAGATCGGACGGCCAGAATGCGGTCTCAGTCACTCCGCACCCGCTGAGCGCGCGGAAGTCGACCGCTTGTTCTTGGGGAGAGATCCGCGCGGCTATCCGCGGGGCTATCCGCGCAATAGCGCGCGCTTCCTATCCTCCTTCGCCTCCTCAGAGGCAGACTCTGGAATTGCGCCCTCGACGCGAACTCAATCCGACGGCTCCCCGCACGCGCCAGCAGAATCACCTTCCACTCCTACTTTTGCCGGCTCTGAGCACCTTGACCGGCTGAACAGACGGCTGACCGTCACAGGCGCCGGAGACAGGGCGGGAGAGGAAGTTACGACGGTCACGCGGCACGCTGACGTCCATGGGAACTCGAGAGGGAATAAAAGCAGATCTGATGATAATGATGGCAGCACGGGAATGCGGCATCGCGATATGGACTGTAGTAGCGGTTATTTGAGCGGTCTTGCGTTTGGATCGAGTCGGACGGATCCTAGAGATTGCAGAGATGGTGACGCTTCAAGCGGTATGAGCCAATTAGCAAGTGACACGTCATACGGACGTGAAAGAGTGGGTGACAGTGCGGCATGTGGTGCTGCTACAGACACCACCACGCCACATGGAGCCGCTACAGATGCCGTGCCGGTTGTAGCAGTGGAAGAGAGCAGCGTCTCGACTGCTCTTGGCACGGCCACATATGTGACTGCCACGTGTCGTGTTTCCATTGGTGGACCGACAGTATCAGTATCAGCAGAAGCAGGATCAAGAGAAAAAGATGCAGCAGCAGCAGCGGCGGCAGCGGCAGTGAAAGAGCTTGCTGCGAGGCTGGGCGGCTCGCCATCCGTGGTGACCGCGTTTGTTTCTGGGGGAGGTGCATCTGAGGGAGGTGCATCTGAGGCAGGTGCATCCACAACAGGTGCTGTGCTGGAATCGCTGGGACGAGGAGGAGAAGGGAGTACGGGAGGGGAGAATATTCCCTTCTTTGGGTGCGTGGTTGGTGGCAGCATGCAGCGTGGTCCATGGGGCGGCGAGGGGGAGATAATGGGGGAGACACACACAGGGGGAGGCCATAGCGATGCGCATGGCATCGGGACCGGGAGCTATGGTAGGAATGATGCTGACGGTGACGTCGATGGTGATGGTGAGGGTGAGGGAGAGGCGTTGGAGTGGGAGGAGGTGGTGATGGCGGCGGCAGCAGACGAGGTGATAGAGGGCGTGGTGTTGCTGGAGCTGATTGAAGACTCGGAGCACATCATCCGCGAGATGGCCGCTTTCCTGCCACACGAGGGGAGGCAGCACGGCGAGGAAGACACGGGGGAGACGGGGGAGATGGGGGAGACGGGGGAGACGGGGGAGACGGGGGAGGCTGGGAAGGAGAATGGCGCGCAGCACTGGCCAAGTGGCGGGTGGGGGGGAGAGGAGGTTGGGGGGCTGAACAGCGGCCAGTTTGGCTCCGCGGCCTCCGATGTGGCCGCCTCCTCTGCTCTCCCTGCACCGCCTTTCACAGAACCCTCTAACTCGTTTGCTGAGTCTATCCGAGCAATCACAGAGGGCCACGTGGCACAAGCAGAGGGCGCGGTTACCCAGCGCCTGGAGGCAGCTTCCAGGAGGTTGCGCGGGCTTGCAGAGCGCTTGCAGACGCGTTTAGAGGCGCCTCAGTACAAGCTGGAGGGCCTTGCGGACTCCATTCAGGAGCGTATGTGGCCAAGTAATGGAATTGTGCAAGGAAACGAGTTGCTGTTGGCAAAAGCAGCTGTTTTCTCGAGAGGGGATGGTGTGACAGAGAGGCTGGAGGGGAGAGGAGGGGAAGAGCAGGAGGTGGAGGTGGTGGTGGTGTGCGCTGCTGTCATGCCCGGTGTGGACGTGCTTTGAGGTTGAGGGAGACACGTTCCCGAATCTGGGCAGCAACATGGCGCACATGGTGACAAGCAACGCCGCCCATTTTGTGCTCGCGGGGACGGGAGGTGAGGGGGTGATGTGATGTTATCAGTGCGCTCTCACAAGCCTGCAGTCGCATGACTACCCATTCACCTCACCCTCCCTCCACACCATGCTTCCCCTCTTGTCCCTTCGCTGCGCTTTCTTGCCCATCAACCTCCCTCTCGCCCTCTCCCCGCACTTGCCTCTCCCCCGTGCCTGCCGCCCCTCACTGCAGGCCCGTCACTGCCCAGCCTCCTCGCCCGCCTGCACATCATCTTCCCCCACTCCTCCCGGTAACCCCACCTAACCCCCTCTCCTCGCCCCATTCCTCCTGGTCCCATCCCTCTCACCCCGCCATGTGGTGCCTCCCCTCGCCATGCCGCATTGCATGCCATGTTGCATGCAACATTTTCTGCCACATCACATGCCACATATCATGCGCCATTGACTGACTCGCATGTCTTTGCCGCCACCGTCCGTCCGTTCTGCCTCTTCCCCCACAGGGCATCGCTCCTCACCCACAACCACGCTGTCCACATGCCTCCACTGCCCCTCACTCACTCAAATCACATTCCTTGTCTCGCATACCTTGCCCCCACCATCCATCCCCCACTTCTTCCCCCGACAGGGCATCGCTGCTCACCCACAACCACGCTGTCCACATGCACCGCACCTGCGCGCCCTCGCCCCCACACGACTCCACTGCCGGCCTCTGCTTCTCCCTCAGCCCCTCTGGTAACCACCCACTTCTTGCACCCCCCACACCATCAGACTCATATCCCTGTGACCTCTACAATCTCAGGCGTTTTGAAGTCAGTCATCTGTTGCGGCATCAAGCACCACCTCTCATGTTCCTCGCGCTCATGTATCCATCCTTGTGCATCTTCCCTCCCTTCTCCTGCTGAGCACCTCCCCCCAATCTCCCTTTCCCCGTGCCTCCTCCCCTGCCTCCTCCCTGCCTGCACCAGCGGAGCAGCAGAGCAGCGACGCCCTGCAGGCGTGCTTCACTCACTTCATCCGCCACCTCACCCTCCCCCTCACTCCCGCCACGACCCTCCATGCCTCCTCACCTCCCGCGCCCGCCACTGCTCCTGCTGCTCTGAGCCTGGACATGCCTGCAAGGGGAATCGCACCGCCTGCCCCCTGGCTTCGTGTTAAGTAAGCCTCTGCACACCTTGCCAATCCAGATTTTGAATGCGACTTACCTTGTTGCTTCTGAAAAACATTCGCCCATCGTCCTTCCAAGTAGTACTCTTTAGTTGCCCCACCTCGTCCTTCCTCTACCTTAGCTTTTCGCCGCTTGTTCCTCTCCTCACATTATTACCTGCTTTCCCTCCATGTGCTCCCCATCCCTTTATCGCTAGCAGCAATCTCCTGGGGGCCTCGTTGCAAGCTCTGCTGAACCCAAATGCCACCAAGCTTGCTCACGAGCAAAAACCAGCTGAGCCGTGTGTGGCGACTAACATGTAGCTATCAGATGATGACATGCATGAAGTTCTTGTGCAGGACTGGCGGCTGCGGATCAATAGCGTCTTCTGCCTCTCTCCTCCACTCATTACCACACCCGTCGCATTCTGCCTTCCTCCTCTCTGGCACAGTGGCATCAATTTGCTTTCCTCCTCCCGCCTCTTTTGGAATGCCCTGCCGTTGATGGCGTCAGAAAGAGTCCCTGTTTCGGCGGCTGAGTCGAGGTGTCAAAACATACCGCACACCCATTCCCGTATTCCGGTATTTTCGTACCGTACTACGGTACTTTACTGGCCTTCTGTGCCGCCGCATGTGATCCCATTTTGAAGAGTTACCCTAGTCAAGATTTTCAGCCTTTTGCAACAACAAAAGGCGTGTTCCTTCCTACGGCCTCTCATCGGGGGGACCTCTTGCCAGACTTGCGTCGCACCGCTTTCGCATTCAATTGGCAAAAGTCTGACAAGGGCCACCACTGATAAGAGGCATAGGAACACACCCAAAGACACCAGTTGGCAGTGGCTTCATACGGTGTACCGGTATTTGAATTGTTTGTCACAAGTGCAACACCATAAAAACGGTAGAAACAGCAAGGAGAAGAAAGGCATAGTGCAAGCGGCCATTGTATGAAAATCGGTAGGGTACAAATTAGAGAAAGCAATACAGGAAGAGATCTACTGGCAGGGATCTACCGTATTGGCTTGACTACCAAAGCAATCAATACCACCAACAAGGCAAACGAGAAGAATCGCCTCCTGTGCTGCAAAGGCAAGTCACAAAGGGTATTCACAGAAGGCAATTCACAAAGGCCAGGGTCAGTGTCAGTTGGGTAGGCCAGGAGGAGCCTGGGTAGGTACTGAAGGTAGAGGGAGGTTGAGGGAACATACAGGCAGCGGCAAAGGGAGGAAGTCAGGAGGGTGTGAGGCTGAGAGGGAGATGTAAGGCAGCGGAACAGTATGGGGTAGGTGTGGGGGTAAGTGTGATGAGAGGTAAGTTGCTGGAGGGGGAGGGATTAGGGATGAGAATATGAGGGGTGACCACGCCTGGAAATGACAAGGGAGGGGGATGTGAAGCTGAGAGGGGAGATGTAAGGCAGCCGAACAGAAAAGGGGTATTTGTGATGAGAGGTAAGTTGCTGGAGGGGGGAGGGAGGGGAAGGGGAGGGGAATGAGGGATGGGAAAATGAGTGGTGACCAGGGGTGTGGAGATGACGGGCTGGGGACAAAGGAGGATGAGTGGGAGACGAGAAGAGGGGAGCGAGGGGGAGACGAGCGGAGGGTGGGGGAAGATGAGGGAAGAGCGGGGGGGGATGAAGGGGGGTGTTGAGGGAAGAGCGAAGGGGAGCGGGGGGAGGGAGGGACGAGGGGAGAGCGGGGAGAGATGAAAAATGTCCTTCCCCACCCTCCCCTGCATCCCACCAACGCCGCTTACCTTTCTCCTTTCCCTTTCTTTACTGCCTTGCGTGTGAGCGATCCAAAGAAATATGCCTTCGCTTAATCGCCTACGGATATCGAATAGGCGGCAATACCGACGCTATTCACGCGCCTACGAACCGAAACTATCAATGCAGTCCGCATGGTAAGTACATATTTTATGGAATTAACAAGTTGCAAGTCGATACTAATAATGTGTGCGCCAATGGTCTTAATGTTCCCGCAAATCGACGCTATAATCCAACCGCGAATGAACATTACAACTCGGGCCGCTATGCATCCACCAAAAAAAGTCGTACTACTGGCTACTGTACGAACATCTGAAGCACGCAAATGACAATTCGTACTTCACTACGTGACGCCTACTAACAGACTACGGCTAGAAGGGGCAACTGACTCTATCTACGGTTCTAAGTCTTAACTTGCGCGATCTGGGAAGCCATGCGAGTTGTAAACCAAGAAGCGCTTAGATCTAGCAGACTGAACTGAAATGCTGGAAAAGTAAAAACTGAACTGAACGGAAAGGTGTTTCACAGAACTGCAGGTAGGTCCGAGCGAGAGCTGCTGGGACGGTGGGTGGTTGTGCTCACGTGCCTTTTTATCCCAACCACACCTCGCTATTTCAGCTGCCCGAACCTGGTTCACACAGGCAGCCAAGCGGGTTGCTACAGCAGCCAACTTCGCAAAACTCCAGCCAAAGAAAAATTTCGCCCCAAAACTACACCATCCCCGCACCTCACGCAAAACTCAACTATTTGCGCGTCACGTCAGCCTCCTCCTAGAAAGTTCCTAGCTGTCCCAGCCACGAACTTGTGCACAAACCTGTGCGCTGATGATACGCGCCTTGAGACGTTTCGATTGCAGCAACACAACGAATTCAAACTCAACATGTAATGACTGAGCAGAAAACTCTACATGTGCAGAGCAGTGAACTGTACATGTGAACTTGACACTGTTCAGATTGTGCTGCAATCGAGTTTGCGCGTGTGCAGAGCAGAACCAATTTCAGCCGCCTCAATGACATTACAGTATCTATGTGGGCCCACAGTACAGTCATCATGAACTGTACCATCTCAATCTCGAAAATCTCCACCGTTGATAGTAACTAGATATCTCCACCACCATCGAGTTAATCCAACCAGCCAATGCCAACACTTCCCACACTCTGGCCCAGTATAACCTGCCGTATCGCACCCCGCTGCAACCAGCAGCAACGCATCATATTCGAACAGGACGCGCGTTCTGCCACGCGCGGCGGCCTGCGCCAAACACAACCCCTCTGACTCATTTCCTTCTCTGTTTCCTTCCGCAAGCTTTCTGCTCTCGACTTGTTCAATCAATCCTCCACTGAAAGAGCTGCCGTGTCGCACCCCACTGCACCCAGCAGCACATAACTTTTCGAACTGAAGGCGCGCTTCTGTCGCGCGGGGCGGCCTGCGCCCAAGACCATGCTCGAATCGAGTTCATTGCTGCATCTCCTGCCTGACTTGATTCTTGAGCACCTGAAACAGCATCTCTGTCTTCTCCTGCAGCCTGTTCGCTCACAGCGAGCATCCCATACCTCCCAACCAAAACACAGTCAAGTACCATCAGTGGAGTCCATTTTCGGATTTATCCTTCGCGATTCCACTTGAAGGATCTTCACAAGAACTTCTCCTACCATATACGGACTTTAGGCTACAAGCTCCAAGGAGCAGTTTGTGATTAATGAAGCCACCCGGGTCGTACAAGAGGAAGCACTTGGCATGCTGCAGCTGGGTGGGATGGGTTGGGTAGCTTAGAGAGTCGCAAAGCTGCGCTGCCTCGAGCTGATCCTTGTACGACGCCGAGGTTCTCGCGGCGTAGTCTTTCACCGCGAGAACTCCCGTTAAAAACGCCACTGCAGATTGATCTGCACTCAAGACTCCCCCCATCCCAAAAATCGTTCTGGGAGAGAAGTCGTATTTGGAGTTGAAGTACCCACCTTGGTGCCAGGAACAAAGTAATGTCGAAGTCGATGCATTGTTGATGAGTTGTACAAGGGTAGTTTTATAGCCACCTCGCACACAGCAAATACCCCCGAATAAACTCAACACATTGTACTTTGTCAAAAGTAAAATCTCAGTCTGTACCATATTTCTCTTGGTGTCGACTTTGTAGCTGCTGATACGGTAGATACCTTGCCATGGCAAACGACTCGCTACAGTGTCCTGACTTCGTATCTACTAAAATTTGCTGTTGGGTTTTTTCACGAGTTTACCCGGACTGTCTGAGTGTGGTAGCTAAAGAAAGGATGTCCGTCGATGCGAGTACTCATGAACAGACAAGATTACAATCAGGTCAATGGCCAAATTTGTCCAGGTTGGAATCTGGACCGTTGATGTTAACAATTGGGAACGGTGACGATTGAGCCTGAGATATTTGTTCCAAGTTGGAATGACGACCGTCGATCAGCAGATTGTAGTTTGGATACTCAGCCGTCGATATTAAAGGTGTTGTATGGTTAAGATCACAAGTGAGGTGTGTCTAGTTGGAATCTCAGTCGTCTATGACTCCTGGTCCTTCGTGATGCAACAGCCGTCGATTGATCAGGTACCGGTGGTTAGGATCGAAAGATGAACTGACTTGGCAGCACAGATAATGCAGCCTTGTTTTGATTGGTCGATGTTCCATCACAATCTGATCTCGGGCAAGCAGTCACGCCATATATGCCAACGCAAGCACCAACCCAACTCTCATTCCTAGGTCTCTTGGTTTGCTTCCATCCCAGTTAGTTTTCCACTACGACCGTTTTTTCAGCCCCTAGTCCCTTTTCCTAGCTCCATTATGCTTCAAGTTCTTGTCTTTCCCTTATGCCTATCCTTTCAGCCTTAGTTGCTGTCATGTATCCTGGTTAACCGGCTACTTCGCTCTTGGCGGGTTTCTTCATTCAGAACCTTACAGTTTTTAAGCATGACTACAACTTTTCTTGCTGTATCTGAGCCGTTTTCAACACTAGCGCCCCCTGGTTTTGCAGGCGACTACACTGTCTAAGTAGACGTGGTTTCTTGTCGTGGCTATAAATCGCATACGCAACGCGACGTGGATTTGACGGCGACCTGATTGTCCAGGTAGCATACCCTATTTACTTATCTTCACTTTCAGCCTTTTTCCAGCGACGTTATTTAATGTAGAAATTTGTTTCCCGTTTTTGCAGGGATGGATTGAGACCTCGTCACTTCCAAGTTCACTCACGTACGAGAGTCCTTTAGTGTGAAGACACATAGGTGTTATGGTTATTGTGGAGACTGTCCTCGTCGTTTCTGTAAATGTGTAATCGTGTAAATATTGTTTAATATATGCGATTCAGTGACATGTCTCACCATATGATGAAAAGCGGGAACCTGAAACGAAAAGAAAATATCGCAACAATGCGCTTGAAAAACCTATAACGTAGTCACGTTATAAGGACATAGTACTCACATAATAAGGGCATAGTTTGTACAATGTACTGACTTCAGGTTCCTCAAGCAGTAGAGTCATTGCGTGAACTCCGTACAGACTGTATCAGGATGGTATGAGTACGGTCTTTCTATATGAGAAATATGCACAATGTACATTCTACTCAAAATTTGAGTATCCACATAGTACGTACCTTATTGCCAGGTGTAGAGTAGCTTGTAAGTCGCAGAACCTATACTTACATAGTCCGTCAGTACAATGTGCGCACTACATAGTTTCAGTGTGTCGACATTGTGTTTACTTAGTATTTTCGCCGAACAAATTTGGGATGCCCCTCCGTGTGGTCTTCACAAGACTCCCCCCGTGTGGTCTTCACAAGGCTCCCCCGTGTGGTCTTCACAAAGATTCCCCCGTGTGGTCTTCACAAGATTCTCCCGTGTGGTCTTCACAAGACTCCCCCGAGTGGCCTTCTTCCCGGGTGGCCTTCTTCCCGGGTGGCCTTCTTCCCGGGTGGCCTTCTTCCCGGGTGGCCTTCTTCCCTTGTGGCCTTCTTCATCCTTGTGGGCCTTCTTCATCCTTGTGGGCCTTCTTCATCCCGTGTGGCCTTCTTCCCGGGTGGCCTTCTTCCCGGGTGGCCTTCTTCCCGTGTGGCCTTCTTCATGCTTGTGGGCCTTCTTCATCCTTGTGGGCCTTCTTCATCCCGTGTGGCCTTCTTCCCGTGTGGCCTTCTTCCCGGGTGGCCTTCTTCCCGTCAACCATGTGGGCCTTCTTCCCGTCAACCGTGTGGGCCTTCTTCCCGTCAACCGTGTGGGCCTTCTTCCCGTCAACCGTGTGGGCCTTTTTCCCGTCAACCGTGTGGGCCTTCTTCCCGTCAACCGTGTGGGCCTTCTTCCCGTCAACCGTGTGGGCCTTCTTCCCGTCAACCGTGTGGGCCTTCTTCCCGTCAACTGTGTGGGCCTTCTTCCCGTCAACCGTGTGGGCCTTCTTCCTGTCAATCGTGTGGTCTTCAACCCGTGTGGTCTTCAACCCGTGTGGTCTTCAGTCAACCCGTGTAATATTCAATCAAAACTCTCGTGGAGGTAAGTTCAGTTTACCTCTTTCCTTCTCGCTTTAACGTCGTCACCTCGCTCCAGCTCATCTCGCCGCTCATCTCGGGTAAGTTCAGTGCTCGCTTCTTCTCGCTCACGCGTTCCGACGGCGAGGCGACCTTGACGCTTCACACGGCTGCGCCGACGGCAGCTTGATGGTTTGACCGTCGCTAGAGGAGCTTCGGTTTCAGCTTGGTAAGGCACCCGCTCTTAATGTTCTTCGTCGCTTTATTGTTCTTCGTCGCTTTTATGTTCCTCGCTTTGTTGATCTTTATATCTAAGTTGTAGCTAACCTTGTAAGTTGATACAGCGAGGCGGCCCGTTGGTGGAGCTTCACTCGGCGATTGACGGCGCTTCCGGCGCTTCCGCGATTGACGGCGCTTCC